CATGCCTGTGCGTGTTATATGCTGATAAATACGGTATTTTAATGTCTTCTTGGAATGAGTTCTGTGTACTATTGTGGCTCTCTGAGATGCAGAATTACTATGGCAAATGATCATATTTTATTTATTTAATTTATATGGCCACCCACCTCACATAAGGTGACTGGGCGGCATACAATAAAATCAATTATTAAAACCGAATATAAAAACCAATTAAAACAAATAATTAACATAAGTAAAAACAAGATTGCAAGAGGGTTAATTAAGAAGTCATACATGGCGCAACCAACACGTGATCTCTCTAATGCCAGAGGATCCCCAGGCCTGATGAAAAATCCAGAGCATGAGTAACTCTGAATAGAGCCTCACGATCCAGGAACGAGTGCAACGGGCGCATGACACAAACTTGCACAAAGGCCTTCCTGAACACAACTGCCACTTGCTCCTCAAGCAAGAGTTGTGGGTCCAGAAGGACCCCCAGATTGCACACTGGGTCTATTTGGGGCAGTGCAACCCCATCTGGTACCAGCAGTGGTAAAGTCCCAGAATTGGAAGGCTCTAAAATCCAAAGCCATTCAGTTTTGCCAGGGCTCAGTTGAAACCTCCTCTTCTCCCTCCAGGCACCAGGACAACACATCAACAGCACCACTTAGTTCACCAGGGGCGGAGAGGCAGTTGAGGATCACCAGCGTACCGATAACACCTCACCCCATGACAACGGATGGCCTTCCCCAGTGGTTTTACGTAGACATTAAACAGGAGTGGAGAGAGCACCGAACCCTGTGGGACTCCACGTAGTCGGGGCCGAGGGCAGGATCTTTCACTGCCGACCAACACCGGCTGGTATCAGGCCCACAGGAAGGAAGTGAACCAGCACAATATAGTGCTGCTCACTCCCAATCTTTGAAGCTAATCCAGAAGGATGCCATGGTCAGTGGTATCAAAAGCTGCCAAGAGGTCAAGTAGGGCAAGGATTCATGCACTACCCCCATCCTGCTCCCACCAGAGATCATCCAAAAGCACAACCAATGCTGTTTCTGGCCCATGCCCAGGCCCGAGTCCTGACTGAAAGCAAATAATCTGCTTCATCCAGGGTCTGTTGAAGCTGCTGTGCGACCACCCTCTCCCCAACCTTCCTAAAAAAGGGAGGTTGGACACTGGTTGAACGTTGTCCAGTATGGTAGGTTCCAGTGATGGCTTCTTGAGGAAGGGGCAGACCTTTGTTTTATAAATGTTTTTGCAAGGATGAAAGACAATTTGAAATCTAAACTTACGGCCTGTTTAGCTCAGAGTTCGAGAATAAAACAAGTTGTTCTTTTAGCTGGATTAGTTGCTTTTTAATTTTCATGTTAATGGAAAATTAAATTGGATTTGTAACTGATTTTGCTCTTTCTGTAAAGAAAAAATATTTACCCTTCCATTATGCCGACATAAGTTATTGTCCCTCCGGGCGGATTATCACCTTCACGTGGTGGGATAGTTTAGTAGCCCTAATGACTGTAAGAATCACACCAGTAGAAACAAAAGCTCCTGATAGGCTCACACTTGTCAATCAAGTTGAAAGAGGAGTTGTGAAGCTAGAATAATTCACAGTAACGTTAAGGGAAGGTGCTCTGGAGATGTGTAAGAAGCCAGCCCTCTAGAAGAAGAAGCTTCAATTTCAAACCTTGAAGAAGGTTATGGCAAAATACGTTATCCACACCATTCTAGCCTTCCAGAAGGCCATCAAGACCTGGCTCTTTATCCGGGCACTAGGGTAGAGTGATGGGAGCCTGTGTATGGTTGATGGGGCATCGTAGGAGGATGATTGAGGTGCTGGGTTTTTAGTTTTTGTTTTTATGGTTTGAGGTTTTTTTGTTGTGTGCCACCCAGAGTTGGGCGGCATGGGCAGCAGTAGAAATCTAATAAATGAATAAATAAATATTTTTTTGTTATTTGGGAATGAAGATGTCTTGGAGGAGCTCATTATGAAAGTAAAACTGGAAGTGAAAGATCTAAGTTAATGCTAAATATTAAGAAGGTAAAGGTTGTCTCAGTCAGAATGCTTAATGAATACAAGGTTAACAGCAATGGAGTGAAGCTGATGGATAGTTTTGTTTTCTTGGGTTCAAGAATAGGTAAAGATGGACAGTGTGCTGGAGAAGTAAAAAGAACGTTAGCCCTAGGAAGGAAAGCAATGACAGACAAGGTAATAAAACATAAAGCTGTTCAGTGTCATCAAATATTAGAATAGTTAAAGCAGTGCTTTTTTTTCCCAGTGTTAATGTAACATTATGCAAATTGGACATGAGAAAGACCAAGAAAATGGGGACAGACACCTTTGAATTATGGATTCGAAGGTAGTTACCAAGAGTATTATGGACTGCAGGAAGAACCAGTGAGCACTCCTGGACAAAATAGGAACAGGCTGGCTCCTTGAGGCAATGGTCAGCAAGCGTATGATGTGAACAGACGAACTAGAACAAACTATTACACTTGGCAAGTTTGAGGGATGTAGTAGATGAGGGAGAGAATAAATAAGGGGAATGCATCACAGAAATGATCACAGAAATTCCTGGAATTATCTTAGAAAAGCTGCAGCTTATTGGTAGGGGAGGTTGAAGTAGCAAACATTTGTCCATGCAGTTGCCAGGAGTCGAACTAAAACTGACAGCACCTGTTTACCTAACAGGACTTGCTGTGCATGCAAGAATTAAGTTGTGATTAGACCATGAAGTGTTAGGAAGTGAAGGAAGAGAAGCCAGTAGAATGATTAAAAGTGATAATATTTCATACAAACTCTGACATCATACCTTTTAGACTGGTTGCAAAGATTACTATTCTGTGATTTAATTGATTAATTTGTAAAATCTGCATATCATTTGCTAGACTCAATTTTTTAAAAATAAGCTCAGAGGACTTACTTTTGAGTGGACTGCTTTGAAAGTATTGCAGCAATAATAAATATGATTCTCTAAACTCAAAGTGAAATTAGTTTAGTTAACAATACTGACATATAATTTTTAGGATTCGGCATATATTTTTATCCTATGCAGAACAGATGCATTTGGAACATATGAAACCTGCTTAACACTTCCTGGAAAGAAGCTACGTTTCAATCCCTTCTCTTACCAGTGCCAGACGTGTTTGCATGAGATCTGGAAGTAGAGAAGTGGGTTCTCTCTTCTTGATGAAGGAAAATAAACCCTTAAGAAGCCCTTATGTTCATACAATCTGCCCCTAAGTTTTAGTAACTCAGAAAATGCATTCTGTGTCTACTTAATACTGCAAGATAATCTTGTGGAAATACTGTGCTCATGGACTGTTTTGTAAATATTGTTACTGCCCTACTCATCTTTTTGAAACCAAGGGATCTTGGTTTGCAGAGGGATAGCTTGGCCTTGCTGTCGTGATGATGTTACCTGGAATTTCTCTGAGTACTCTTAATGAGGTTAATTTTCCTTCTTGGCTGAATTACAAGGAGGAGGTCTCGAGACAGCTTTACAATTAATTTCTGAATTGCAGGGAAAACTTTCAACTGAAAATTATACCCAACAATACCCGTAGGCGGTGGCGGCCTCCTCCTCCTCCTCCTTTTTCAGTTGACAACAATTAAAAGTTCCCCAATTTTGTTTACCATAATTTTCCAAAAATCTCTGACAGTTTCTGTTTAGGGGGGGGGGAAAACCCTTGTTTCTTACCCATTTCAAGTTGAACCAGGAGCTTTCCAGCATCCCAAGCCTGCAGGAATTTTTCAGTAAGCTTGTCCTAAGATTCTGAGAGGGAACAGCCCAGCTGCTCCTGTGGTGGTGTCAGCTGCTTTCAGTCGTGCTAGCTTTTCATGTTTTTGTGATTCCATTGTCTGCAGTCTGGTTGATTTTTTTCACAAAGCAGGTAGCCCGAGGCTTCCCTCCCCATGCTCATACACTCCCTCTTGAATACCTGATCTGCTCCTGCTCCATCAGAGCTGATTACAGCTCCTTTTCCAATGCTCCCTCCTTTACAGGTGGAAGCACCTGCATGATTGTGGGTCCTGCACTCCCACTGCGCTCCCCCATGGCTCCTCCGTGGAGGACACAAGACTGGAGTCAGGTCATCCTCATCCCTTTGGAAGTAGGATGGGAGTGGCAGATCAAGGGAAGGGGTGGAGGGCATAGTCCTTTGAACCATCATCTGGGGGACTCGTCGCTCAGCCATATCAGCCCACAGGACCCAGAAGTCCATTTGGCGGGGATGGTTCTGCTCAGTTTGCACTCAGACTGCTCCCAGCAATCTCAAGTCAAAAGGAGCCCCACTGTGACCACCTCTTCTCCTGTGAAAGTCATCCAGTGTATTTGTCTGCTTCCCTGTGCACAGTGTGACCATCCTCCTTTGGCCACCCCCTGCTGGATGGACAAGGTTACCTGGTCCCACAACTGGACCATGAACCCCAACTAGCTCCCCAGGGGTGTGTTCTTCCTCTGTACCATTTCCTTACCTTGCGTTCTCTCCCAAGGGACTACCAGCTAGCACAGTGATGGCAAACCTTTTGGGCTTGGCGTGTCAAAAATTCAGAAAATGCCTAACTTGACTCTGCTGGCCTGTCACCGCCCCCCCCAACAAAAGAGAAACAATTCATTACATATTCATTTATTTTTAAAAAATACAATCCAATCGTGTGGTGCTATGTATTATATAAAGAAACCTCAAATAATTACAAAAATGAAATATGACTAAAACAAACTCAGTTTCTTTGGTAACTCAAACAGGGAGAATAGTTGTTGTCAGGTGTTGGTGAATGTTGGTGTGTTGCCAAAACATGTGTCACCTTTGACACACGTGTCGTAGATTTGCCATCGCTGAGTTAGCGCTTACCCCTTCCTGCTCCTCAGTTGTCTGCCTCCTCCAAAGACACGGGGGTGAACTCACCCTGTGCTGGTTGTCATGCGTTTTGTGACTGAGACAGGCTGTGACTGAGGGGTGCCATGCTGCCATCCTGGATGAACCCCCAAATTGTTGCCTAGACACTCAGGCACCCCAGGTTTGGCATGGAACTGATGGAAACTATTTCCCTCAATTTGAGAGAGAAACTAACTTTGCAAAGTGGTTTTTCCCCCTCTCCCGACAGCATGAATCACGAGTACTTCAGGCAAAGCAAAAATATAGGGTACAGAAACAAATGATACATACATTTGGAATATGTGATGTGTCAGAAAGCAAGAAATCAAACAATAAGAGGCACTAAGTAGACGTGAGAATTAAACAATAGAAAACAAGAAAATCCTAGATAACATTCCACAAGTGGGAAATTTACGGGTTACATCACCCCCTTTCCCAGTCAGGTTTGTATCTTTCTTAATACTTGCAAGTGTATTCAAGGACTCCCAGAATATGCTTCCTATAGTTTAGTTGCTGAAAAGGTTAGTTCTCACATATCAAAAGAAGAAATGGCTTTGATTAAAAAGAAAGCATAGTTTCCTGAACTTTAAAAGGAAGCATGGATGTCATGCTAAAATGCTGATATTGCTTTTATTAAAAAGCTAATAATGAAGCCTAAAATTCCAGGTAACAATGATACTTGGTCTTATTGCTGATATGAGGGTGCTTGTCTTCCTAGACACCACAGTATAAAAGCTTGCATAATTTAAAATACCATTTATTGATTTGTTTGCTTCTTATGGTTATCGACTAATTTAAATTGATTTTTGTTATTTTTTCCTTTCAGGCAAACAATTAAACATAGGTTGTATCCCATGATTGTGTAAGCAGAATACAGTCTGTACAACTTATTTTCCTTCTGCTAGCAGTATTTCTCCAAGGATAATGAACAGTCTCTTGAACAGTACAGTGTCACCAGCTGGGCCAAGGATGGGCAATTTTTTAATGGCTAGAGGTCACATTTCTTCCTGAAAACTGTTTTGGTCTCCATGGCTGCATGGGGCATGGCCAGTAATGTCATAATGTCACTGGAATGGCTGGCAGGGGTGGTGGTGGGGAACAGGGACCACATTCGTTCAGGGTTTTTCTAAGGTTAGAGGTTAAGGGACAAAGAGGTACCATTTCTACTGTTAACCATGCCCCCCAAAATCCAGGTTGGTGCCATCTACCTCCGGGAAACTCTAGGAGTCATAAAATGGGTACTAAAGGATTGCATTAAGACTATAGATTGTCTGTCTGTGAAATCAGGAGGGGGCATACGCCACTGTGGAACATCTCTCTACCCAATTGTTCAAGTATGAAATGCACTACAAATCCAAGTATTTTGAATAAAATTGGGCATCTCCAATTTTATTCCAAAAGCTGACAGCCAAAGTATTTATATCTATTGCATGGTGACTTTTCAGGAGTTCTTTGTTGTAGCGTTCTTGTTGATAGATTTACACTGGTTCTTTAAAATTTGTCCTTAAATGAGCTGAGGGGCCTGCAATTAATCAGGCCAATTCACTGATTAAAATTTGCTGTGTGTCTGGGAATCCCCAAAGTTTCTGTCCTAATACATCTGGAGGCCTTAAGGTGAAGGAGACTGAGCCTAATGTGAACATTGTAATATTCTGCCTGTTTATCTGCCCTCTTTCTGCCAGCCTCACCTTACTATTGTATTTCACTGCATTGAGTCATATCTGCTTCTTCACCATTATGTTCTTTGTCAGGAAAGAGCACTGAAATGTTGCCTCAAATCCTTTTTTCACCATTCTGAGTTGAAATGGCCCAGAACAACCCTGGGGATTCCATCTTGCTTGCTGCACTGTTCCTCCCCATTCTGGTAAAGCACAACCCAGAAAAATGGTTTTGAGTGTCAATCAGTACAGTCATAGCTAGAAGGCATTTGTGCTGTGAGGTATTTCTACAGTAATATTTTCACTCTGATATATAAAATAATGTTGACCTAACAAATTAATTAAATCTTTCAGCCAAATGAAAGATTTATACAATTTAAGCACTGTGGTGAAACCTGAGGAAAACTCAGCTGGTGGCCTGCTGGAGTTGATCCTGCTGCCTCATAGGTTAAAGTGTGCCACCTGGTTACAGAAGCAGCTTCTAGAGATGGCTAGTCGGCCATGTTCAAGATCCTTCTTGAAGAAGAAGGTCCACTTCTCTCCTGAACCTTTGTGTCTCTTTTAATATACCTAGGAATCTAGAGAAGCCTGCCTTGCTCTTATCAAAATCAGTCCACCTCAGGCCTTCCTAGGTCTTCCTAGCAATCTCTGTGGTCACCGCTTTGGCCTTGTCTGGGCTGGCAGTGTGTGACAGATGTCTGTTTGCCTTTTGAGAAGTGTGTGGAATGACTTTGTGGACACGTTTATCACTATTTGGTACTTAAGTGAATATTTATTTTCCCAGATGTTTCCCCTTGTAATTCTCATTTCAGCAAGTGAATGGAATTCTGGAGAGCCCCACCGGCACAGGGAAGACATTATGCCTCCTGTGCTCAGCCTTGGCTTGGCAAGGACACTTCAAGGATGCTGTTTCCGCACAAAAGATTGCTCAGCGATTGAATGGAGCTGAACTCTTTTCGGACCAGCCCTTGTCGTCTTGGGGTAAAGCTGTCACGGGGACTGATGTTCCAGGTATTTCCTGTTCATTTGGAAGCCCTCATTACGATTGCAGTGAGAGTCTGACCACAGAGGAGCTGTAGGGCAAGAGGTAGTAGGTTGGTAGATAGTGCTGATGCTCCTTCCTCAGAGTTTTGAAAGTTTAGGGAGTGTGGAAGTTGAAAGAATGTGAACCAGTAAAAATATTACTGCATGCCCTGAAATCCTTTTCATAACAAAAGCAGAAACTGGTTGGTTATGAGAAAAGCTTGAGAATCCTTTCTGCCTTATATTTTGTGGTGGGGAGAACTGAAGCATTGCAAACCAGGGCATCAATTTTCACTGCCATTTGCAGATACTTATCCCCAAGTGCTTCAGAGCAAATCCCTTTGTTGAAGATAGTAAAAATATGCAGTCTTCTTGTTCTCTGTTAGGTGGGCAGTCTGGTTATAAATTCCCATACTACCTCCACAGGCTAAATTGTTACCATAGCACCCGCAAGAAAAAGCAGACTAATGATATATTTAGTTACTAAACAAAAACTTTTTTTTTCTTCTTTCTCCCTCCCCCACACTTCTCCTTTCTCACTTTCTTCACGTGACAGCTTATTACAGTGATGTCCCTAAAATAATTTATGCCTCCAGAACACATTCTCAGCTTACTCAGGTCATCAGTGAATTAAAGAATACTGTTTACAGGTAAAGAAAGAATTAAGACTTTGCTTCTCATTTCAAGTGTGAAAGCACCTGGGATTTATAACTGTCTCACCCTATTTATTTCAGAAGCATCCTTGTTCATTGCAGTGTTCCGAAAAAGCTGTCTTACCCTGCCGCCACAGTAAAGGAGCACACACAAATAAAACGTAGTGCCGTACTGGATCAGACCAAAGGCTGATTTTTGTCCAACATTCTGATCCACAGAAGCAAATCAGATATCTCTGGGAAGCCAAAAGCAGAACACAAATGCAATAGTACTTTATCTCAACTGCTGTTTGGAGGCTATTGCAAATGATAATGGAGATCATAAATAGTGCAGATGACTGTTAGCCATTGGTGATTTATCCAGCTGAGTGTATTTCATCTCTTTTTAAAGCAGTCCAAGTTGGCGTCCATCACTCCCATCTTGCAGTGGATTTAATGGTGGTTTAATGATGTTGGTTGAAAAAGTACTTCCTTTTATCTGTGACGATTCATATCATTCAGCTGTGTTGGAGGATTCTGGGCTTTAGTATTTTCACAGGGGGTGAAAAACTTCTCCCTAGCCATGTTGCATAGTTTTATGCCTATTTAACTTGCTTACCCCTGCCCCCATTTTACCTTTTTTGTTTTTTAAGCTAAAATATAAAAGATGCAACCTTTTCATTTTCTTGATCTGTATTTTTATATTATGTGGAAATGCTCTGGATCTTTTTTCTGTTAAAACAGACCCAAAGTATGTGTGTTGGGTTCCAGAGACCAGCTTTGCATCCACCCTGAAGTTAAAAGGCAGGAAAACAATCACATGCAGGTAAAACTATATGTGCAAAATAACACTGGCCCAAGATTATTCTTGGGCTACTCTTATGGCTACTCTTTAATTTTTAATTCTTTAATTTTAATAAAGTGAAAGAATTAAAAAGGGAAAAATCTGCTACTCTTATGGCTGATAGGGAATTCAGCCTCCCTGTTTCAAAACTTAATTTTATCATGTGCTTTTCTGAGTCCAGTTCAAAGCACTAATCTTGCTTGCCCCTTCACATCTGAAGGAACCCTGTCTCTAGATATATCACTATCTTTTCCATTCTTTAGTAGAGGGCCTTGTATCATCTAAAGTGAAGTGGTTGGCCACCAGGAATAAAGTCTTCCTTTGGTGATACCCTGATTGTGAGATGTTATGCAGGATTCTGCAGATGCCTGTTTGTTTGTTTGTTTAATCAATCCATTTAAATTAAACAAGTGCAGTTGTGAACATATTTTGGCTTCATTATGTAATGCACTGAACTGGATTTTAATTGTTTTGCAGATCCATTTGTGTCGTTTGAAAGTGACAGCTCGGATGTGCCATTTCTATAACAATGTGGAAGGTAAGTAGTGTGGATGTTGGTTGATGTTGGATAAGGTTTTTATTGATGGGACATTTACGTTAATGGTTTGTTACATTTGCCAGCCCCAGTTGATCAAGCCATTATAGTCATGGTTTGATGAGCTTATAGCATCATTAACAAGTTTAATGTATGCAACCTATTTTCCTGTGTATATGCTAATTTAGCTTTCAAATTATTAGGCTGGAAAATAAGACAGGTTAAACAGGTGTCTATTCAGCATATGAGTTTCTCAGTAAGGTTTTCTGAATAACCATATTGAAATTCAGGCTTGGTAGACCATCTGTTTCACCCTGCATGTTCTGAGACATAAAGGCCAAAGGAGTAAAAGGCAGTTTTCTTATTTGGGTTATGTAATAATGTTTTAAGGCAACAAATTATTTTAGTTTCACTCTACCACAGAACCATTCTATATATCCATTCATCTCAGTCTAGCTGTGCCCTATTGATCTTCTTTATTTTATCTGTCTTAAGAAAAGCTGATAGTGACAGTGCACGTAGCTTGCATATCTTGTCACCTGCACATATTTGTGGTGTCTTATGGAGAAAAACAATAATTAAGGTCTAAACCATCAGATGTTGTAATTTTATTGGAACTGTTCCTGGTACATGGAAGTGGCAGGCCCAGAGTTCATCTAATCATGCTAATTAATTAACTGATTAATTAATTAATTTTAATTATTTATATGGTATGATTTTTTAATGGCTTGGGTTTGTGGTTTTAATTGTGAGCCGCCCAGAGTCACCCATTGGGGGAGATGGGCAGCATACAAATGGAAGGAAGGGAGGGAGGGAGGGAGGGAAAGAGAGAGAAAGAAAAGAGAAAAGAAAAGAAAAGAAAAGAAAAGAAA